GGGTTTTCCCGTCCCCGCTCCTATTTTTTTTTCTTCTTTTTTTCTTTTAAATAAATATAAATAATTTTAAAAAAAATAAAAGAAAAGTAAAATAATATAAATTTTTACATATAAATATTTCTAATTTTGGTTTATATATATAAATAATTTTTTAATTATATTATTAAGCAGGGCGGGGGCGGGGCCCCCGATTTTATCAATCGGGGAAAACTCGAACCCGAACCCGTACCCGATAAACACGGGTTTTCTCTATCCAAATCTGAGCGGGTTCAGACGGTTACCTACGGGGGCGGGTTAGATTGTCATGCCTAAGAGCATCTCCAATGGGGTTGTTTATAAGCAATCTCCTGTGTCACATCACTGCCACATCAGCTCTGACCCACTTTATGGGTTGCTTAAATTTTAGCAAAGTTGCTTGTAAAAGCAACTTTGCTAAAATTTAAACAACCCATAAAGTGGGCCAGAGCTGATGTGGCAGTGATGTGGCACAAGAGATTGCTTATAAGCAACTTCCATTACAGATGCTCTAAATGTGCCTAAAAAATTGTGCAAGTGTAGGCATGGCAGCGGGGCGGGACGGGGGCGAGTTTTATGGTCCCCGCTCCCGCAGATTTAAACCACCCCTTCCCCCACCCTCGATACCCGCTAGAGGTAAAATCTAGGTACCCATCCCCGTCCTCGATGGGATTTGGGTTTCCCTGCCCCGTCCCCGCTCCTAGACTCTCTTTTTTAATTTTATTTTTCTTTTTTCTTTTTTATTTCTAATAAATATGAAAAAAATTAAAAAATAAAAGAAAAGTAAGATAATACAAATTTTTACATATAAAGTATATATATAAAAATAATTTTTTAATTATATTATTAAACGGGGCGGGGGCGGGGGCGAGGATGTTAATACTGTCGCCCCGCCCCCGATTTTATCAATCAGGGAAAATTCGAACCCGAACCTACGGCCAACGCGGGTTTTCCCCGTCCAAATCGGGGCAAGTTTGAGCAGGTACCCACGAGGTGGGTTAGATTGTCATGCCTATGCAAGTGCAACCAAAAGGTTATGCATTAAAGAAAAGATATTTTAGAAAGAATATTATTAAATAAAATAAAAGTAGTTAAAAACTTTGATTATATTTGAGAACAAAAAAATGCATGATTTGTTTTGCTTATTATAGAAGTGAAGAGAAGGAGTATGATCTATTTTAATAACTTAGTTTCACTTTCTTGTCATTTTTTTAATTATCTTTTTCATTACATCAAATATTATTACACTACAAGAAAAATGATCTATACCTACACACAATTT